CATTAAAGAAAAGAATTTTTTATTTTAAAAAGAGAAAATGAAAAAAAATCGGTAAAATCTAGATTTTAGGTTTAAATTTTAAAATGAATAAAGGAAATAAATTAGTTACTCCTATTTTTTCTTGCTGTAATTCTGATTACTATAAAGGAATTATTACTTACAGCAAAAAAAGAAAAAAGAGATAAAAATGGTGGTAATTTTTGAATTTTTGGGGATTATAAACATGGAGACAAAATGTACAGAGGAGACATAAGTCCTCCACTACTAATATTCACGCCATCTCTTTCCCTTCTTCCTCCTCCGCACCCCGCAGGAGAAGAAAAGATAAACTATTTTATATATATATATAATTCTCAATTAAACCGTCAACCCCTTTCGATCTTCACTTCCATTTTGCTTGATCTATAGATGGTTTTTTAGTTTTTGCTTCTGATTTCCCGGATGGGAGGATTATTGAAATGAATTGTCTATCGGATTCCTTGATCACCAGCTTTTGCATTGGTGCGTTTATTAATCTTGTTGATTACTTCTGCCTCTGTGTGTATTCACTGAGAATTTTGATGATCGAGCTCGGATTTCGTTCTGGGTTTTGGCTGATTTGATGTGGGTTTTTGCTTGATTGGTGAAATTTTTTTCCTTTTTCTTTTTCTTTTTCTTTTTTTTTTTGCTAAACAACTTTGCCTTCAAGTAGATACTGTTGGATGTTTGCCGTACAAGCAATCCTTTTGAGTGCTGTGACCGATTTTGGTTTTTGATCGTCAGAAGGAATCAGTTGATGCCGTTTTTATTCTCATTTCTCTCCATCTCTTCATGTTCTTCATTGGTTAGCTTTTCATTTTTCTTGTCCTAAAAATTTCTGGGTTTTATGTGCAAGATTGTTATTTCTTTGCGTTCATGGTTGATTGGGATTTATGTACTTCAGTTGATTTTTTGCCCACATTTTGCTTCCAAAATTGAAAATCCTGATATAGATTCACTGATGTAGATCAAGGGACAGTTTGAGAAACATGGCATTTGTCTTGTCTCATAGTAATCATCAGCAATTGATCCTTTTTTTTTTCTTTGAGTTTTCTGCATGATGTATGGAGTTAGAAATTGTTATCTGATAGCAGCAACTGGTGAAATTATAAAGAAAAAAAGATGTACAATTTGTGAGGTTATAGATAATTGGAACTAGAATGTGATTCTGTTCAAACATATCAATCCAATAGAACTAATTCCTCATGATCAAACATTTTTCTTGTTCAATCATTAAGTAATTTGAGGCTTGTTCAGCTAATATTTTTCCTTATCATTTTTATTGTACCAGGCAAACACTCCTTTGTTTGTTTGTCAGCAATATGAATTCTATGCATTTTGTTGCGTGCTGGTATGGGGGTCAGAAGATCTGTGCTGCCTGTTATCCATGGTTAATTAGCTTGTGCTTGGCCTTCTCAATGCAGTCTCATAAGCGGGTTGTAGATGATATGTGGCTGCCATTAGTAGATACATAGCATCAATCATATTTGTAGATTAGGGATTTGGTCTTCTGGGATTAGGAAACTTGAATTCCATTTGCTGTTAGATATTAGGTGTTGGATTAGAACTGTTGGAGTTTTAGATTGACAAAACTTAGCAGAACATAGTGAGTTGTAATGAAGTAGATAAGGTGAACCTGAAACAGATGGAAACTGAAGAGGAAAGATAGTTTATTCAGCTCATTTAGAAACTTAGACATACTTGTTTCTGCTATCCTAGTGATGGGGTTGCCTCAAATTTCATCGGACAATAGTTCTGAGGAAGTTGAAGTAGCAACAATGGGGACATTTTTGCAAGGCCGACCAAGATTTGCTGGTGTCAGCAGCTGTGATTTAGATGGAATTCAGAGAGGTAGCATGAGCCAAATAGTTGGGGATTCTTTCCGTGCTTCTTTGGGAGATTTTCAGAGGAAAACCTCCTTGGAACTTTCTAATGTTAATGGGCTGAAGATTGGTTCTGCCAATACTGTTGGTTCAAGTGCCAAAACTGGACAGAAAACACATAACCCTGTTTCTAGGATTGTGGGTTTTGAATCACATGGAACTAAGGTAGTTGAAGGAGATTCTTATGCTCCTGTTCATTCTTCTGCTGGTGTCAGAACTAATGAAATAGAGTCCAGTGGCTCATTAGTCAGGAAGCGATTATTGTCTCCTCTAAATACTATGCTTTTCCCAGACCAATTTACTAGTGATCCTCTGGACATTAGCTGCAGCAGTAATCAGATAAACTCCCCTGCTATGATGGTTCATGGTAGTAGTATTTCTGCGTCTCAAGACAGTAAGAAAGCAAATGTTGGCAGTAAAATGCATTTCACTGCATCATGGTCCTTATCTAGCTGCTTGGAACAAAGGATCATGCCTTTTGACAATACCAGAACAGCATCTATGTTTTTCACAGATGGTCCTTTGCTACAACACGAGGAGCCACACCTTTCTAGTAGTTGTTTGAGTTCACCTGGACTTGATCATCCCAAGGAACCAAGTAAAGTAGGATCCCCAAGTGGTGCAATTGCTATATCCTCCCAAAAGTTGATCTCACCTCTTCCGTCTTTGTCACCTCTTGGTCCAAAGTTTTCCGAGAGAATGAAAGCTGCAGGGTTATGCAGGAATGTTAAAAATGAGATAGATGATTGTTTTTCTACCCTGGCAAATATAGAACAGTCACTTGATGGTTCTGACTCAGACATTATCTTTGCTAATGAAGAAGATGAATTTGGGATTGCAAGCAAATCATTTGAAGATATTAGTTTTTTCCACAAAGAATTTCACCCATCATCCCTAGAAAGCTCTGCTGGATTAAGGTGGCATATGGGTTCAGAATCACCACCCACATCTCAAAGCATTAGGTTTATTAAGGGTTTGAGTGGACTTCCGGTGAGGAGGTCCTTGGTTGGTTCATTTGAGGAGTCTCTATTGTCGGGAAGGTTTTTTTCTGGAAAATTCAATCAGGTCAGTAGCAGGTTCCTAATTCTGTCTAGGGACTTGTTCCATCATTAGATGTCCAATGTTATTCATCTGCTTACTTGTTGCATCTCATATGTGTGGCAGATTAATGGTTTTCTTGCTGTACTAAGCATTACTGGAGGTAACTTCTCACCACAATCACAGAAGCTTCCATTTTCAGTCACTAGCGTGGATGGAGATCGCTTTTTGCTTTATTATGCATCCATAGATCTTCCTGGAAATTCATCATCAAATAAGTCCAGAGGCCAAAAACTGAAAAAAGTCCTTAGTAATGATGATTCACAACGTGTTAGGAGCTGGTTACGCATTCCTATGAAAGGCCGCATACAGTTGGTATTTTGCTTCTCTTTAAACTGATTGGTGGAACACTTTGAGCTCTACTTATCAGAAAAAATGCATGTCATCACTTGCACTACTTGCTTGAGCTTTCTTACATTCTTCGGTCACCTTCATCAATTAGGGACTCTACCCTTTATAAAGGAAATGTTTTTGTTTAATATTGCAACTTTACATGACTATGCATCCTAGTTCTTAGTGCTTCTAGGAAGGATTCTGTGAGAGTTTTCTATTTTAAATCATCCAATTTGTCTGTGTACTTGATATGTGGTGGCAAACAGAAGGGATTTTGTATTTATGATCTTGCTGGATCAATATTGCAGGTCCTTAGCAACCCAGAGAAGACACCGCTTCACACTTTTCTTTGCAACTATGATTTGAGTGACATGCCAGCTGGCACCAAAGTAAGTTGAAATTGAACCTGACATTGTTATCTTATATCATTGTTGCTGATTCTAGATACTTTTTGACCTTATGCGAGTAAAATTTAAGTCTTTCTCTAATGACTGATTCAAGAGTAAAATCACATTGGTAATGGTTGAAGACTTGAAGTTGCCATCAGTGGGTGGGCTATCTCGCCTTGCGATTTTCCTACCCTGCAGAATTCAATCAAAATGAAAATATATGAAACATAAGATACACCAATTTTTGTTCTCTCAATCACATATCTTCATGTACCTTTTAATGCATCATATATCTAATTGTGAACCTTTGCCCTTGTTCATTGCTCTTTGAATCGAAGCAGACATTCTTGCGCCAGAAGGTCACCTTAGCCTCTTCTGGTCCAAATTCTACAGAGTTGAAACAGGTACAGAGTTTGGGTACAAAGGCCAATGAAGGGTTTACTTCAGTATCAAAGAAAAGTGATCCTAAATGCTCCAGCATAGATGGAATGGAGACTGTTGGTTCTATGGAACATGGTGGTGGATTTAAAGAAACTAATGGATCTGATGGAGTGGAATCCATAGATATGAACAGGTGCAACAATGAAAATTGTAAGGGCCATTCCTTTGTTGATTCATGGCATGCAACTGATAAGAAACCTTCCAACGGTTGTTCCAAGGTCAATGGACACACTAGTGGTGCTGGATCTCTTCGTTTTGCACTTCATCTCCGTTTTCTGTGCCCTTCCCCTAAAAAATGTTCTAAATTAGTTCAGAGAAATAAATCCAACCCTGTATCTGAAGCACAGAAGACTAGCTGTGACATGGATGCAGAGAGGAGGTTCTATTTATACAATGACTTGAGGGTTGTGTTCCCGCAACGGCATTCAGATGCTGATGAAGGCAAGGTATGGCATTTTATTAGCAAGATTACATTGTTTCAGAGCTCTCTATCTCTGCTAGCGTTTCAGTTGTTGATATATTTTTCAAAAGCAATGGCTGGTAGCTTGAGTAAGCTTGCTCAAATGTTTTGGCTTCTCTTTGAGAAGTAGTTAACCTTTGTTTTTAACATAACTGGTCACATTGTTATGGTTATACTGAAAGAAAGCCTTACCATTACTTATATGTTATAGATGAGTTGAGTTTATTGGAGTTGCAAGTAGGTGAATTAGTTAATGCTTTATTATCTTGAATGCCTTCCATGGAATTGTTAGGATGGTTTGCATTTATCAGAAACTTCCCTTCCTCTGATTATCATACTGTGTCTATTAACAAAGATGTATGAATTGATGGTCGTTGTTGTTTGTTTAATTGCAGTTGAACGTGGAATACCATTATCCAGAAGACCCAAGATACTTCGACATCTAAAACTAATTTACTCCTTAATTCATAAAAATGTTGTTTCTCATGCTGACGCTGTACATAATTTCACATGTTTGGTTTACCATTTCAGCTGAAAATGGCACTAACCACCATCAACCTGTACATACCATTTTATTCTGAAATAATCTGATGGGTGTGTTCAACTTCAAAAAATATTGTTGACCACTTTCTTTTAAGCCAATTAGACATTAGCACGCACAAAAGACCATGCTCAGTTCAAAGTTCTAACGTCAATCAATTAGAATTGGTCATCAATATTTGATTTTTGACTCACTCAAAATGAAAGGTCTAGTCTAAGTTGCAGAGTTGGGCCTTCTCATTCATATACGCTTCAGTTTCTCTTTCATAACCTCCACCAATCAATCTTCATTTAAATGTCACACTTTTCCTTTGATATTTTTGACATCCTATTTACCCATAATGGTGCAATTTCTCATCCATTTACATATTTTTATCATTCTATTTACCCATTTTCATTTTGCAAATTCTGGTTTCTCACGGAGGAATTCTATTCCCTATTATCATCCAATTTCGTTATTTTCCCTCGTTAAAAAAAAAGGGGAAAAAAAAAAAAAAACAAAACAAAAGCAAACAAGAAAATGTAATCTCTTTTTTACCAAAAAAGAAAAAGTAATCTCTGGGGAATGGGCTGAGGGGCTATAATAAATGGGCTAGATTTGTCGGCCCATAATGGGCCGCCTGCATGGTTGTTATTACGTTAATTGAAAACCTGGCCCAAAAGATTACCATCTCAATTCTCGAGTCTCAAAAAAACAAAAAAACAAAAAAACAAAAGGGAAAATTTTTTACCAAAAAAATCTAAACTAAACATTAAAAAAAAAAGATATGAAAATCCCACATATAATTAACGATGGAAATTAATTGATTATATATCCAGTTAAGAAAATCCAATTGATATTAGCTATAGAGCATAGAGTGATGAGATGAGGGCATTTTTTCTCCAAGTTGCAATGATGTTGTGGCGCATGCAGGTGCTGATGACATATTGAAAGTTGAATTTGTCCAAGTTGCAATGTTACGGCGCTGGTGATGACATTGAAAATGCAATGTTTGGCTCCATGGATCCGGAGGTACTAGCAAAAAACTATTGATTGCATTGAATGAGAAGAACAAGAAATTAAATTTGATGTGAAGTCAATTCCTTATCATCAGTATTATTAGTATTAGCATAAATATATAAACAAATGAAGAAGGGTAAGGTTTTGTAGTCAAGAATGGGACATGAGATCTAACCTTGATAAAGAAATAGATATAGCCCACTACCAAGTCTAAACGTATGTAATTAATGAATTACAAAGTAGGAATTGCTTCTAAAGAATTTTGGCATTGAGTGGTTTCAAGTCATTATCATATCATTGGTATCTAGTCAGGAAGAAGAAAAAATCATTCACAAAGTAATTTACTCCTACTCCTACAAGGAAAATCTACCAATTTGAGCAACTCATACTAAGCCCACCTTCTACTTCTTATTTTCTTTTCTTCTTTCGGTAAAACTATATATAATTAACCACTTATCCAATCTAATGTGTCCTAATTAAAACGTAACTTTAGCTAAATTTGTTTCATTATCTTGAATTAAGTTAATTTCCTTTACAAACTTTTAAGTTTAGTGAAAAGAGTTGGATCATATTCTTGAGTTCAAAACTTGTTTAATTTCAAAAAAGATTTTATCCATAACAAAATTTTAAAGTTGGAAAGTTATTAAAATATATGTTTGTTTAACTGTAACCTTTATATATATATATATATATTTGTGAGAAGCTAATAATAAATAATATACTAATTTATTAAGAAATTTTTGTCAAATGGACCCCAATAAGAAATGGGAAATTTTTTTCCCTCTTAATACATACATATATATATATATATATTTATATTTGTCTTAAAGTTGGAGTTGTGATGAATGCTAAAATTGAGAATTTATTACTATACATACATACATATATATATATATATATTAAACTTAATAAGAGAATTGGAACCACACGTAGCCTCAAGTCGTCAACTTTTGATTTTGAATTGTTGATGTCTAAATGTAAAGTGATGATGAAGTATGGAAGATCTCACATTGAATTATAGGTTAGGATAGTTGTAGTCGACAAGTAATGTAAATATAAGAAGGATCAATTTTCCCATTGTCAAAGCAAATAAGAGTATACACGGTTCAAGACTTCAAGTACACGGTGAGATAGGTCCCATTATGGAGTTCAAAATCTGGAAAAAAAAATTATATATTTTTTAAAGTTTCTTTTAATAATTTCGGGTCAATAAAATCATCTAAAAATTGACAAAATCAGGGCATAATCAGTTCTGGATTTGAATGTTAATTACATAGTACTCCATTGAGTAAAGGTGCAAAAAAGATGTTAATTTTACAATTTTTTTTTTATTTAAGGATGTTAATTTTGTTAATTTCTAAATAAGGATACTAACTTTCAACATTTTTTATTTAAGGATGTCAACTTTTAATTTTTTCTATTTATGGATACCAACTTTAAACTTTTTCTATTTAAGAATTAATTGGATAATGATACTAATGTGGCAAATAAATTTTTTAACTAAAATGTTGAAAGTTAATATTTTTAAATAGAAAAAGTTGAAAGTTAGTATTCTTAAATAGAAAAGTTGAAAGTTGATATCTTTAAATAAAAAAGTTAAAATTTGATATTCTTAAATAAAAAATATTGAAAGTTAACATTTTTATTTAAAACTTGACAAAATTAACATCCTTAAATAAAAAAACTGTAAGGTTGATATCATTTTTTACACCTTTACTCATACTCCATCGGTTAAACTTTATTAGACTTAATTTTTTTTCTTTGTTAAATAAAATTTTAACGAAATAATTTATTGATAAAATTTTATATTTATTTTTAATTAAATATAACTTAAATAAAACGAAATAATTTATTGATAAAATTTTATATTTATCTTTAATTAAATATAACTTAAATAAAAAAATTTTATTTTTATTTAATGCATATTATAATTAATTTTTTAAATAAAGATAAAATATAAATCAATACATTAAATCACATTTAAAAAAGTTAGATAA